ACTCTCTCCCCAGATGACTTCTCTTCAGAACTCAGTCAGACAATCCTCTCTCCAGACTTCAGCCAGATAACCCTTTCTCCAGAATTCAGTGAGACCAACCTTCCCTCAGACCTCAGCCAGGCAACCCTCTCTTCAGAAGTCAGTCAGATGACCCTTTCTCCAGACCTCAGGCAGACATTGCCTCCTCCAGACCTTAATCAGACATCCTACCCTTCTGAATCTAATCAGTCACTTCCTCTTCCAGAATTTGGTCAGACTTTCCCTTATTCAGACCTTGGTCAGATACCATCTCCTCCACCAATTCCTACGCTCAATGACTCTTTAATACCAACACAATTTAATCCACCAGTTGTAGTGGGCCTCTCTGAAGACGATGGCGATTACATTGAGATTATTCCAAGGCAGGAGTTCCAGAGCAGTGAAGAAGACTCTGTTGAAATTGATTATGTGCCTTATAATGATCCCTACCAAACTGACATTAGGACAGACATCAACTCCTCCAGAAATCCTGACAACATTGCAGCATGGTACCTCCGCAGCAACAATGGAAACAGAAAAAATTATTACATTGCTGCTGAAGAAATATCCTGGGATTATTCAAAATTTGCACAAAGGTTTGGCCAGTCTTGTCCTCTTATATTTTCATTTTTCCACTACTGCTAAAAAAGTAATTAACATAGTCCAGGGAGGAGATAATTCTGGGCCAATTATGTTAAGTATGGGGTTTGGTTCCCCTTTTACAACTTGGCCTAAACTATTTCCTGTGTCAATTCCAGTATTAGCTTCTCTGCTTTAGATGATACCTGAACAATATAAGAACAATCACTGTGAGAAGTCTATGACATTCTGTAGTTGAATAGGCTCCTCCTTTCTGTTCTTCTCTCACCACATACATTCCTAATCCTCTTCTTGCTCTAATGCAGAGCCCAACCTAACCATGGTGATCTGCTAATCAATAAAATACAATTGAAATTGATTTCAAATCCAAATTTGTGAGGTAGAAATCTTCTTTTGCATTTACTTGTTTACCATATATATAATATATATATATTTACTTGTTTATATATGTATACACATATACATATACATATACATATATATATATGCCCTAGTGGTTAGAAACTATGGCTGCAAACCAAAAGGTCTGCAGTTCGAATCCACCAGCCAATCCTTGGAAACCCTATGGGGCAGTTCTACTTTGTCCTGTAGGTTCACTGTAAGTTGGAGTCGACTTAATGGCAATGAAAAAAAACAAATATATATATATATATATATATATTGCTTGTTTTAGTAATCAATGTAAAGTGTATAGCATCTTGGTGAAGTTTAGTTCAAATTCCATGAGACTCAAGTGGAAGAGACTAGGGACATAAAATTAGCTTAGAAATAAAAAGTAAGTTTATTCCCTCAACTAAAACAGTCATTAGATAATGATTTGTTTTTATTTGAACTAGAGTTATAACTTAGTTTATAGAGTCATTCATTCAGCAACTCTTCAATGAGTGCATATTCTGTCCTAGGTATTATGCTAAGTGCTGAAAATAAAAAAAATAAAATACAAATACACATGGCCCTACCTTCATGTAATGTATGGTTTAGTGGGGCAGATGAATATTAATCAAATAATAAGTGTAAAACTTAACCATGATAAATGCAAGGAAAAAAAGGTAGACACAGGGTGATACTGGAATTAGGGTAACTGACCCTGAGGAAGTGACAATTGAGCTGAGATCTGAAGATGAATAGGAGTGAACAAGGCAAGATACGGAGTAGGAGAGCATTCTAGACAGAAGAGTAAGATCAAGGCCCTGAGGCTATATTTTTGTTGTTGTTAGATACCATCCAGTTGGTCCTGACTCATAGCAACGCTATGTACAACAGAACAAAACACTGTCCAGTCCTGTGCCATCGTCCCGATCGTTGTTATGCTTGAGCCCATTGTTGCAGCCAACCTGTCGATCCATCTCTTTGAGGGTCTTCCTCTTTTTCTCCGAGGTACTTTCTCTAAAGTAGAGGTACTTTACCAAGCATGATGTCCTCCTCCAGGGACTGGTCCCCCCTGATAACATCTCCAAAGCATGTAACACGAAGTCTCTCCATCCTCACTTCCAATAAGCATTTTGGCTGTACTTCTTCCAAGACAGATTTGTTTGTTCTTCTGGTAGTCCATGGTATATTCAATATTCTTCAGCAACACCATAATTCAAAGATGTCAATTTTTCTTCTGTCTTCCTTATTCATTGTCTAACTTTCACATGCATATGAGGCGATTGAAAATACTATGGCTTGGGTCAGGCGCACCATAGTCCTCAAAGTGACATCTTTGCTTTTCAACACTTTAAAGAGGTCTTCTGCAGCAGATATGCCCAATGCAATGCGTCTTTTGATTTCTTGACTGCTGCTTCCATGGGTGTTGATTGCAGATCCAAGTAAAACAAAATCCTTGACAATTTCAATATTTTCTCTGTTTATCATGATGTTGCTTATTGGTCCAGTTGTGAGGATTTTTGTTTTCTTTATATTGAGTTGTAATCCATAATGAAGGCTGTAGCCTTTGATCTTCATTAGTAAATGCTTCAAGTCCTCTTCACTTTCAGCAAGCTAGGTTGTGTCATATCATATCGCAGGTCATTAATGATTCTTCCTCCAGCCCTGATGCCCTGTTCTTCTTCATACAGTCCAGCTTCTCAGATTATTTGTTCCGCATACAGATTGAATAAATATGGTGAAAGGATACAACCCTAACACCCACCTTTCTTAACTTTAAACCACTCAGTATCCCCTTGTTCTGTTCAAATGACTGCCTCTTGGTCCATGTACATGTTTCTCATGAGCACAATTAAGTGTTCTGGAATTCCCATTCTTTGCAATGTTACCCATAATTTGCTGTGATCCACACAGTCGAATGCCTTTGTATAGCCAATAAAACACAGGTAAACATCTTTCTAGTGTTCTCTGCTCTCAGCCAAGATCCATCTGACATCAGCAATGATATACCTCGTTCCATGTTCTCTTCTGAATCCAGCTTGAATTTCTGGCAGTAACCTGTCAATGTACTGCTGCAATTGCTTTTGAATGATCTTCAGCAAAATTTTACTTGTGTGTGATATTAATGATATTGTTCTATAATTTCCACATTCTGTTGGATCACCTTTCTCTGGAATGGACACAAATATGAATCTCTTCCAGTCAGTTGGCCAGGTAGCTTTCCTCCAAATTTCTTGGCTTAGATGAGTGACCAACTCCAGCTCTGCGTCCATTTGTTGAAACATCTCAACTGGTATTCCTTCAATTCCTGGAGCTTTGTTTTTCACCATTGCCTTCAGTGCAGCTTGGACTTCTTCCTTCAGTACCATCAGTTCTTAATCATATGCTACCTTCTGAAATGGTTGAATGTCGACTAGTTCTTTTTGGTATAATGACTCTGTGTATTCCTTCCATCTTCTTTTGATGCTTCCTGCATCGTTTAATATTTTTCCTGTGGAATTCTTCGCTATTGCAACTCGAGGCTTGAATTTTTTCTTCAGTTCTTTCAGCTTGAGAAATATTGAGCATGTTCTTCCCTTTTGGTTTTCTATCTCCAGGTCTTTGCACATTTCATTATAATATTTTACTTTGTCTTCTTGAGCTGCCCTTTGAAATCTTCTGTTCAGCTCTTTTGTTTCATCATTTCTTCCTTTTGCTTTAGCTACTCGATGTTCAGTCTCTTCTGACATCCATTTTGGTCTTTTCTTTCTTTTTTAATGACTTCTTCTTTCTTCATGTATGATGTCCTTGATGTCATTCCACAACTCATCTGGTCTTCAGTCATTAGTGTTCAATGTGTCAAATCTATTCTTGAGATGATCTCTAAATTCAGGTGGGATATACTCAAGGTCATATTTCGGCTCTTGTTGTTCTAATTTTCTTCAGCTTCAACTTGAACTCCCATACAAGCAATTGATGGTCTGTTCCACAGTCAGCCCCTGGCCTTGTTCTGACTGATGATATTGAACATTTCCATTGTCTCTTTCCACTGATGTAGTTGATTTGATTCCTTTGTTTTCCATCCGGTGAGGTCCCCACACATAGTTGCTGTTTATGTTGTTGAAAAAAGGTATTTGCATTGAAGAAGTCGTTGGTCTTGCAAAATTTTATCACGCGATCTCCAGCATCGTTTCTATTACCAAGATTGTATTTTCCAACTACTGATCCTTCTTCGTTTCCAGCTTTCTCATTCCAATCACCAGTAATTATCAATGGATCTTGACTGCATGTTCAATCAATTTCAGACTGCAGAAGTTGGTAAAAATCTTCAATTTTTTCATCTTTGGCCTTAGAGGTTGGTGCATAAATTTGAATAATAGTTGTATTAATTGGTCTTCCTTGTAGGCTTCTGGGTATTATCCTATCATCAACAGCATTGTACTTCAGGATAGATCTTCAAATGTTCTTTTTGACAATGAATGTGACACCATTCCTCTCCAATGTATCATTTCCAGCATGGTAGACCATATGATTGTCCAATTCAAAATGGCCAATAACAGTCCATTTCAGTTCACTAATGCCTAGAATATCAATGTTTATGCATTCTATTTCATTTTTGACAACTTGCAATTTTCATAGATTTATAGTTTGAACATTCCACATTCCAATTACTAATGGATGTTTGCAGCTGTTTTTTCTCATTTTGAGTTGTGCCACATCAGCAAATGAAGGTCCCAAGAGCTTAACTCCATCCACATCATTAAGGTTGACTCTACTTTGAGGAGGCAACTCTTCCCTAGTCATATTTTTAGTGCCTTCTAACCTGAGGGGCTCATCTTCAGGCTCTCTATCAGACAGTGTTCTGCTGCTATTCATAAATTTTTCATTAGCCATTTTTTTTTCAGAAGTAGACTGCCAGGTCCTTCTTTCTAGTATGCCTTAGTCTGGAAGCTCAGTTGAAACCTGTCTACCATGGGTGACCCTGCTGGTATTTGAAATACCAGTGGCATAACTTCCAGCATCACAGCAACATGGAAGCCAACACAGTATGACAAAATGACAATGTGTCTGTCAGTTTGAGGCTATGTACCAAACCCATTAATATATGTTTGTTCATTTATACATTCAACAAAAATGTTTAAGTACCCATATGTGCCAGACAATGTGTAGACACTGGAAATAAAACTGTGAGCAAAATATGCATGCTCACTGACCTCATGGGTCTTACATTCTAGTCGCAGAGGCAGGCATTAATAGATAACCTCAGAAATAAATTATATATAATTAATTATATATACTATAGGAATACCATAGGAATATTATCTATATATATATAAAGAAAAAATATATATATGTATTTGTGTATGTATGTGTTATATATACATAAATGTTATGTAAAGAGAGAATGTTTTATACACACACACACAGACACACACACACTATAGTAATACTAGAGAAATGTAAGGAATGGTACAGGGAAACTTGACCTGGTCTAAAAGATCATAGGAGGATTTACCTAAGAAATGACTTTTGAGCTGGGAGCTGAAGAATAGTCTCTGGCTTGTGTTTTTGTTCATTCTTTTGTCCATCAAGTATTTATTGAAGACCTTATCGATGCTAGGCACTATTTTTCAGAAACAGAGACAATTTCCTAAATTTGAAGTTTTTAGTTTCTTCTTTTAGACAAATGTTATTATTATCCTTTCAGTGAAATGGATAATGAAGATACTGATGATGCTCCCAAGAACACCATATACAAGAAAGTCGTTTTTCGAAAGTACCTTGACAGCACTTTTACCAAACATGATCCTCGTGGGGAGTATGAAGAGCATCTTGGGATGCTTGGCCCTGTTATCAGAGCTGAAGTGGATGATGTTATCCAAGTAAGTCATCTTCTGAGCAGTGGAGGAATTTCCAAAAGTGCTAGAATGCTGTAAAGGTGAAGGTAGAAAGAGAGCTATAGCTGATTTATTTTTCAGAATTAACAAAAAATTACATTTCTTTTCAAAGACTCTTTGCAAGCAATTTGGCAATCTTCATGACAAAATTAATGACCATACAATTAAAAAAAAAACCTCTAAAAACTATATAACCTGGGGAAAATTATGTTGTAATACCTATCTAAAGCTAATAGAGAAAATTTACATATTCAGGAGTGATTCAACTGCGTTTCTTAGTAATGGCAGCAGTGGTGGCAGTAGTGGTGGTTAGTAGTAGTAACACTTTCTTGAAAGAAATGAAGTTTTCTTCAAAGAAAACTAGAGACTTAGGGAAGTAAAGGTGTCTCCATGTCTTTGAATGAAAATAATAACTCCCTCAAAAGTCAGTTTCTCAAGTATTTCCAATCCCGATCATTTCCTTCAAAACCCTGTATCCTGGTCCAGGCCTGCAGCCAGCTTTTATGGCAATCAGAGTTTATTTCCCCCATCCTTTCTAACCTTTCACTTATGAAAAAAATAGGAAAGGGAACTGAATCTAAAGTAAACTATTCTAGATCCAAAAACATAATCTACTATACCTATTTAAGCATTCACCAGAATTTTCAGTAAATATTTGCTTCTTTAAAAATTGCGGATAGGCAGGTAGAAATATAAAGACCTTAATTATACTAAGTGCACCATGAAGATATGGGAAGCAATAGTCTTCTCTCTTCTGATTAGGGGATTTTTAATCATTAGAAGCTGTAGAAGAGAAGGGCTGGGAGGAGAATCTTCCATGAGTCTGACTACTGTGAATGCAAAGACTCCCCACATGATGTTTAAGGTCCTCTACTATCTGGTTCCGAGCTCCTTTTCTAGGGTGGTGCAAATGGTTAAACACTCGAACTACTAACTGAAAGACTGATAGTTTAAACCCAACCAGAGGTGCCTTGGAAGAAAACTTGGCAACCTGATTCCAAAAGGCCGCAGCCTTGAAAACCCTATGGAGCGCATTTCTACTCTGTACATGCGGGGTCTCCATGAGTCAGAATCAACTCGACAGCAACTGGTTTTACTATCTGGTCCCAAGCTCCTTTTCCAGACTCATGTCACACCAGGTCCCACCCCACCCCTGTGCACTCTACAACCCAGCCACACCCAGATCTCTACTGTCCCCCAAATGCTTCCTTTCCTCCTCTCCTCATAGGCACTCCCTGCTCTTCCAGGACCCTGAAATACTTCCCTCCTCTTTTCCCTCTGCTGAGCTCTTCTTCATTCTTCAAGGGCCATGGAAATGCCATTTCCCCTGAGAAACTTGTCGTTGTGTCCGAACTTGTAGCTGGAATACACGTATGCATGTCTCTTTTTACCATAGCTTGAAAGCTTATCACGAGCAGGGACCAAGCCTCGTTCATCTTCGACTCTCCAGCACCTATCACTATCATTTCATTTGTTGATAATGTCAATACTTTAGCCTTGAGACTAAGAACATGTTTTGGTGTTTTGGGGTAATCTATTCAGGCCCTAACTCATAGGATGGTTGTGAAAATTAAATCAAATAATGTACATAAGTTACTTTGAAATTGTTAGCCCTCAATACAGCTTAGCTCTGATTTAATAACCATTCACTTTGGCCTGTAATTAAGTGCTCAGCTACTAATCAAAAAGTTGTCAATTCACATCCACCCAGAGGAGCCTTGGAAGAAAGTTCTGGCAATCTACTTCCCAAAGGTCACAACCATTGAAAACCTCACGTGCAGTTCTACTCTGAAACACATGGGGTTGCCATGAATCAGAATCAACTTGATGGCTACTGGTTGGTTGGTTGGCCTTTAACACTAACATTTTTCTGTTTGGATTTTTGTTAAACTTACATACACTAGTAGATCATTTCTTTTCCTAGGTTCGCTTTAAAAATTTAGCATCCAGACCATATTCTCTTCATGCTCATGGACTTTCCTATGAAAAATCATCAGAGGGAAAGACTTATGATGATGACTCACCCGAATGGTTTAAGGAAGATAATGCTGTTCAGCCAAACAACACTTATACGTATGTATGGCACGCCACTGAGCGATCCGGGCCAGAAAATCCTGGCTCAGCCTGCCGGGCATGGGCCTACTATTCGGCAGTGAACCCGGTAGGTACATCCTGAAAAGTTTCTCCCATTCCTTTGACCTTGTAACCTTAGTTCAACCAATGGCAAAGTCAGAGCTGTTTCTTGTTACATGTCTGAAGTCTTACTTTCATGAGGAATGCGTAAGGATTGTGGTCAACAGTCTACAACTACCAGGGACTCTGCATGCAGCCCTTCAGGGAGAAGAGGAAAAGAAATACTTGCTCAGTGGAGAGGAGTAAGGATTACTTAAGTGGTTGGCCCCAGTTTGGAGTAACTACTTTTTTCAGAGATGTTTACTTATAATTTCCTTCAATGAGTATTAGGTTTCTTCTGTTCTTTCTTTATGAAAGAACTGCAAAGTCAAGATTCCTTTATTTCAGGCATAGTGGAGATAGTACAGAGTTAGATTTAAATTCCTGCCCTGGCATTTACTGTGTGACCCTAGGAAAGTTATCTGAACCTCTCTCAAACTTGGTTACCTAAATTAAAAATAAGAAGACAGTGCATAGCACATAGCAGCTACTTGGTAAATATTTGTTCAGTGAATTAACTTATATTTACCATATAGAACTGTTGTCAGGATTAAATGAGATACTATAAGCAAATCATTTAACATAGTAGTAGCTGCTCAGTACACAGAAGCCATTTTATTATTGTCATATCGTTATCATCATCATTGCTACCATGTTGGAATAAAGCATTCATCAGAGGAAGGAAATATGAATGCAACAGAATTAGATGATAAATATCCAGGCCTGTTAAACTATTTCTTTGTTATCTTCAAATTCAGAGCCTCTAACGTTTCCTCTTCCATATGATCAGTGATTGTCAGAAGAGTAAAAAAAGCCCTGAGAAAGGGGGAATGCATGCAATTTGCTCTTATTGTCTTCCAGGAAAAGGATATCCATTCAGGTTTGATTGGTCCCCTGCTGATCTGTCGAAAAGGAACACTTCACAAGGAGAGCAACATGCCTGTGGACATGAGAGAATTTGTCTTGCTTTTTATGGTCTTCGATGAAAAGAAGAGCTGGTACTATGAAAAGAAGCCCAAAAGGCCTTGGACACTTGCATCTTCAGAAGTAAAACACTCCCATGAGTTTCATGGTATTTTTCCTCTGACTTTGATCTAATCTCTGAATTAAAGCAGACTGGGACACAGTGAGTCCTGCGCTTAGGTTTCTACCAGATTAGCCCGAGATACTACTGAGGAGCCAGGAGCTACGACTAAAGCTAGCTCCTTACACATCTCAGAGAGAGCGCGGTTGTAACCTGGCAGGTGATACTATAGGTGAAGAAGAGTAACGTTAGAAAGATAGTACACTAAGGCTGATGCAAAACAAGCAAAAAAGCCAGTATGCTTACATTGTTGTTGGATTGTTAGTGCTGTTGGGTCAAAATTGACCCCACGTGTGCAGAGTACAACTGCTCCATAGGGTTTTCAAGGCTGTGACCTTTCCGAAGCAGATCGCTAGGCCTGTTTTCCGAGGCGCCTCTGAGTAGGTTTGAACTGCCAGCCTTTCAGCTAATAGTCGAGCACTTAGCCATTTGTGCCACTCAGGGACTCCAGATGATGAAATTAGCGACATGTTAAGAAGGAATTAACATTACTCTGCGTTATTAAGAGTTCATGAACTAGTTTCTGGATCTCTAAAGAAGCAAGTGCTACACTCTGCTGTTTATAAAGAATAAATGACTGTCTGTGTGTCTTTTCTAATATAAGAATGACTGTAACAATTTTTAGCTCTCAGCAGCTCCCAGATAACATCCAAAGCATATGAGAACAAAATGAAATAGGTGATGGGAGAAGGGTGGTAAGAGAGCATTTGGGTACTCACACTGATCAAAGTGTGTTCACTCTGAAATCCGTTCGGGAGTTTAGACTGTAAATTGGCAACTGAATTGCAAGCAGTTGTTTGAGAGCAAAGCAAAATTTAGGATTTGGAGGACAGCAAAGAGAGAATGACTCAGGGATTAGGGAGAAAAAAGGACTAATAAGCACTATTTTCAGAGTTTGATGAATGGATGAGATTGCTCTGAGATTACTGATTTGGGAGGATGTGCTTCTGGTAATGGGGCAGGCACTCAGTTAATAGGGAAGGAGAAGGTTGCTATTGCACAGGGGGAAAGCCTGTTATTATATACAACATCCAGTCCAGTGCCACCTGCACCTCCAGCCTGTCACCAAGACTAAGCAAGTCAGTCTACTCTCCCTCCCCACCTCATTCACACATTCAGGCTACCTTTTTTTACATTACTTTTTCCTATTAAACTTCTATTAGTGTGTGTTACATACAGCCTCAGATCACCTGGAAAAATACTTTGAAGGTAGAGGAGGACAAACAATATGATTTATGATCTGTCCCACGACCTTATCCACTAATGATAGTGTTGCTGTTATTAGCTGCCATCAAGCTGGCCCCAGACTCATGGCAACCCTATGCCCAACGGGACTGGACCATTGTGATTCATAGCGTTTTCACTGGCTGATTTTCCTGAAGTAGATCACCAGGCCTATCTTTCTATCCACTAAGAAAATAGGCCCTGTTTTTCACAAAAGGTTAAAAAAAGTATTAAACAACCTAGAGTAGAACCATTGAGACCGTCTAACCAAAGACTCCAAGCAGCACTTTCCTCTCTCCTCTCCTGCCATCTCCAGGCCTCTCAGGCCAGCAGGCATGGACTCAGGAGCGGAACGCATACCCTTCAGAAAATCTCTCAACCTAATAGAAAAGCACAGGCTGCAAAATCAGACAGACTTGTTGTCTCTTAGCAGTGCCATTTGCAGTCACTGCTGTCTGATTCCTCGGACAAAGAGTAAAATGCATTCAGTATCATTTTAGTTTTAAATGTACTGTAGCCTACCGAAACCAACCAAACCTATTGCTGCTGAGTTGATTCTGACTCATGTAGCCTAACTCCATGCAATTTGGTAGTTTTTCTGGGGTAGTACCTGAGTACCCAGCCCCTATCTCAGTGCCTGGACTTCACAGTACATGCTCAGTAAGTGTGTGTTGAATGAATGAATAAATGAATGACTGAATTGTATCACTCAGCTCAATCTATCAAATGTTTACTGGGCCTCTACATTGCTGAGAGTCTTCATTTCCATGTTGTGATGCAATGGTCTAGCAATGCTGACCTAATAATTACTTGAGATGCTGTTCACTCCTATGAAATCTATTTCTTACACAGAAACTAGGATGAGGGGGTGAGGGCTGGTGTTGTAAGTATGTACCATATTTTTACGAAAATAACATGCATCTTCTACACATTTGTTTGCCAATTGTGCCCTCCCCCCACAAGGTATTTTCATAATCACTGCTATACCAATTTTTTTTTTACATGTTGCTGTAAAAAAAATAGCATAGTGTGCTTACAAAAATACTTTGGGGTGGGGAGCATGGTTGGCAAACAAACATAGAAGGTGTGCATTACCTGTGTAAAAAAACGGTAGATAGGTGTCCCTCTGTGTGATATAATTATAAGGGTGCCAAAATTATCCCTACTCCTTCCCCTCCAAGAATTCATATGCCTGCTTCCTGAAATTCCACAGCAGTTAAAGTTAAGTTTTAAGTTTTCTCCTTAAGTTAAAGGAGAAAAAAAAAATCCTTCCCTTACCCCACTCCCAGTTAAATGCTTGATAGCACTAAGCATTATCATTGAACATTTTAATTACATTAAGGTGATCAAGTTTACCAGGTGATTTTTAGAAGCGCACGTATTTCTCTGAGAGGACAGTGAAAAGGCCTGCACCCTGGACATCTAACCTAGGAAGGGGGCAGAGGAGCTACCACACCAATGAGAGAACACACAAAGATAAACTCTAACTTCCTAATTTTGCCTGGAACTATCTCTGAATTTTAGAGCCCTGGTGGCACAATGATTAAGAGCTCAACTGCTAATCAACAGGTTGGCAGTTTGAATCTATCAGCAGCTCCTTGGATACCCTATGGGGCAGTTTTACTCTGTCCTATAGGGTTGCTATGAAGTGGAATTGACTCAACGGCAATGGGTTTGGGTTTTTTTTTTTTCGGTTTAGGATGACATGCTGTGTAACCTCTTTCCTCTAACCACTGGAGTTTGTTTATCCACCCATCTTAGTCTTTATCTTTTGTAGCAAGAGAATATTGATACTACAGATGTGGAGGGTAAATGGGCCAAGCACAGAGCAGAAGTGTGAAATCTGAGGAAAACAGTGATGATCTACTTAGAAACAGAGCTCGCCCACACTTCTGCTGTAGGCTGGTGTGTGATGTGGGCCAGGTGATAAGGAGCCAGCCGAAGGTTCAATGTCAGTGTCTCACTGATGTTATAGCATGTAGGGGGCCCTTTCTATGGCTGGATGGGCCTGGGAATGTGGAGTAGTGAGGAAGATGGGTAGTGAGTGGGATGCAGCATATTTCCTTACCACCCTCCCTACCAGTGTACACAGGCTATTAATGATTGCAACTCTCTGTCCTTTCAGCCATTAATGGGATGATCTACAGCCTGCCAGGCCTGATGATGTACGAGCAAGAGTGGGTGAGGTGGCACCTGCTGAACATGGGCAGCTCCCGAGACATTCACGTGGTCCACTTTCATGGCCAGACCTTGCTGGAAAATGGCACCCAACAGCACCAGTTAGGGGTCTGGCCGCTTCTGCCTGGTAAGGCCCTGGGCAATGGAAAGAGGTCCCTGCTGAGAAATGGCGAGATAAAGCAATCTTAGCATCTTGACTCCCCTCACTCCATCCTTGTGTATCTGCTTCTTAAGGGGCCAGAACCCAGAATTCTGGCATAGGTCGTGGACAAAGCCATATTGCAAACTGTATACAGAGTAAATAACGAACAAAAAAAACAGCTATTTATGAATTGTTAGTGGCCCCACACAGGCTAAATCTGTGGTCATTCTGACTGTAAAGAGATGCTGTCTAACCCAGGCTCTCACAAGCCACTGTGTTTGTCACACAGGTCAGGTCTGGACCACACTGCAAAATGAATCCCACAGGTAGACTGGGTCTGTCAGAGAGAGATTAGGAACTTACTAGGGTTTCAGGATTCTTGAATTCTCTTGGCTCTATCACCCTGATATCTTTGAGTAAGTGACACTCTCTGAAAATCATAGTCTTGGACTGACTCATGAGGCTGTTTGGAGACAAAAATAAAACAAAACAACTAAATGTAAAAACCAAAGAATGGCATTGGTGTTTAGAAATGTTCATGTACAAAATATTGATAAGGTTTAAACAAACTACAGTCATCAAAAAGGATTTGGTATGTGCCAATGAGTTGTTTGTATGTGTGTCTGTGTGTGTAGTGGGGGTGTGAGTGCTACATGTCACTGATTCTCAAACTTTAGTGAGCATAATAAAAACCTAGGAAGCTGGTTAAAATGCAGACACTAAAGCAGAGATTTTGCTCCCAGAGACTGTGATTCTATAAGTCTTGAGTGCGGAGCCCAGGAGCCTGCATATTGGCCAAGCAACCTACCTTGCACAAGTGCTGTCCAAGGAGCTAGGGAAGGCCAGTCCCTTGACAGGACTTTGGGTGGGAAGTTGGTGTGAGTCTCGGTATCAGATATAGGCACAGAAGCCCAACGGAGCCTGGTTTGGTTAAGGGAAGCGGAGACTGGAAGTCTTTTTTGTTTTTAACATGTCAGTGACTCATTAATAAATCTAGAAAGAAAACATTCTATTAAGATAAGGGCCAGAAGGCATTAGGTCAAACTCACCTCTTGTCTTTTCACCAAGTATAAGCAGATCTGTCAACCTTTCCATCAGCCTTGCGCTCTCAAGATGGATTGGGAAGCTAGGATTGGCTGCCTCAGTTAAATATTCAGACCAAAATATCTGCGTTGGAGAGTAGAGGGCCGGAGATTGTTTTCAGTGTGTTTGAGGAGGATGGTCATCAGCTATTAATTTTCACTACAGTTATAGTCAGCAGTATCTAAAAAGGATTAACTGATAGTGGGTAATATCAAATACTAGAATGGATAATCAGAGGTATTAGAAACTTCACTCTTTCGGTGACTTTCTGAAACAATTTGGGTACATTTCTATCCAAAGATGTAAACTGTATAGAAAATTTGAAAACTCAGGGGAAGGATGTTTTATTTTGATTTTCTTATGTAAGAAAGAAAACCAAGTGAAGAGAGAGAAGGGAAACGCATACAATATTTTTGAGGCCCAGTGATGGGTCAGTTGAGGTTGGTTTGATAGTTTAGGACTATGAAGCTGTATTATGTATGGGTTAACTTGTAACGTTGTATTTAGATTGGTGAAAGTTTCTTTCCAGTGAGGGGTGGTGGAGATTTTTTGATGTGCTGGAGTGAGTTATTTTTAGTAGTGTATGTGTATGTGTGTGTGTGTGTGTGTGTGTGTGTGTGTGTGTGTGACGTTTATGGTTTTTGTTGTTGTTTTGTTATGTTTTGTTTTGTTTTCAGCCCTTACATCTCTAGTCTTGCCAAAAGGTAGAAATGGATAACTCTTTAGTTCTATTCTAAAGCCTCTTGTGACACGGGGATTTTAGGATTCTTTGATAGTGGTCAACCAATATAATGTTGTCCTTCACCCTCTATTTTAGGTTCATTTAAAACTCTGGAAATGAAGGCATCAAAACCTGGCTGGTGGCTCCTAGACACAGAGGTTGGGGAAAACCAACGAGCAGGGATGCAGACACCATTTCTCATCATAGACAGAGGTATTACGCAAGAGCCGCATAATATTTTTCTCAGTAGAATACCTGTTACTGGAATAGTAACAACTTTTAGACTGGAAATATTCAACTCTGAGAACTCTGATGTGGTAGAGGCATAATCTGTAGCCATAATTGCTTTTATTCTGGCCCATGGTTCATTGTCCTGCAAACACATTAGTTATCTAGCAAACTTAAACCAAATGGTTCAGTCCAAAGATACTCCACTCAACTGGGGTACCAATGTAAAGCATTGTTTTTCATGATTTTTGATCCATGGTGCAGTGAGCCAAGGATGAAAAATGAAAGTAAGTTTGTGGAGGGCTGTAGTTTTCAGCAAATAATTGACATTTCCCAGTGGTGAGACCACAAGCTTTTATTGCTTACATGGTAGTTAGGACAAAGAAAAACATGGCAAGATTTCATCTTGGACTGGTCTTCCTTTGGCTGTTGTGCATCCCAGGGTGAGCTGACAGATCTCTCCTACACACGCGTAGCCCCTCTATGTGTCATAGGCAAAAGACAAAAACAGACAAAGTTGAAAAGGACTTATATACCTTGGACTGAAGGGGGTTATGTGCTGGGGTGCATAGGAAAAGGGGAAGGGGAGAAGCAGGGAAGGGCCCTTTGACACAATCTGAGCTCAGAGTGTGTGACCCCCTTGTGGTCATTATCCCCAGCTTTGACTGTGACAAAGGAAGAACATTCCCTCCCCTTCTGGGATCTAAGATTAGATCTTGTTGCATGCAATTATACAGTTAATCATATACCTTCCCACTAAGACTCAGTGGGAGGAGATCTACTTCCCCATGGGTACCTTCTTTCAGTATAATGTCAGTGTAAAGGTCATGCAGGTAGTGGGAAATGAAACTGCTTTCCACTGCCTCTGCACATGGGAAAGTGCATGTAAGAAATCCTCCAGGCTCCTAGAGTAGAGGAGGGAAAAGATACCATGTGTCTTAGTTATCTAGTGCTGCTATAGCAGAAATATCCCAAGTGGATGCCTCTAACAAACAGAAATTTATTCTCTCACAGTTTAGGAGACTAGAAATCTGAATTCGGGGTGCCAGCTCCAAGAGAAGGCTTTCTTTCTCTGTGGGCTCTGGGGGTAGGTCCTTGTCATCAATCTTTCCTTCTGTCTAGGAGCTTCTCAGTGCAGGGATCCCTGAATCCAAAGGACATGCTTCCCTCCTGATTCTTCATTCTCGATGGTAGGAGGTCCCTCTCCTCTCTGCTTGTTTCTGTCTTTTATATCTCAAAAGAGATTGACTCAAGATACAACCTAATCCTGTAGATTGCATCCTGCCTCATTAACATAACTGCCTCTAACCCCACCTCATCAACATCATACCAAAAAACAAAAACCAAACCTGTTGCGTCAAGTTGATTCTGACTCATAGTGACCCTATAGGACAGAGTAGAAGTGCCCCATTGGGTCTCCAAGAAGGGCCTGTTAGATTCGAACAGCCGACCTTTCGGTTAGCAGCCGAACTGTTAAGCACTATGCCACCAGGATCAGTCACTGATGAATTCCTGGTGTTATGGATTGAATTGTGTTATAAAGGTTAGTATTTACAGCACATAGGATAATCATATCAGATTACAAAATGGTGGACAATCACACAATACTGGGGACCATGGCCTAGCCACGTTAATACACATTTTTGAGGGACACAATTCAATCCATAACACCAGGAATTCAATGACTGAGATACACACTTAACTTGGCATTTCAATATTCAGGAGATACAGTTCTCATCCATCCATCCATCCATCCATCCATCCATCCATCCATCATCTAAGCATTTACTAAGCACCTATTGAGTACCAAGCACTGTGCTAACATCCAGGTAGCACAGTGACTGGTATTCCCTTCTTTGAACAAGATGTAAATAGCCTTGTAACTTTCAGATAAACTTTTGAGAACAGTCTCATGAGGGATAGCACTTCATGTTGTAAAATGACTTGCTTTATGATGCAAATAGATGAAAATTAGTTTATATGAAAAATCTAGAGTAGGCAAATACAGAAAGGAGATTAGTGGTTACCAGTGGCTGGAGGGAGAGAGTAACGGGGAATTACTGCTGAATGGGTACAGAGTTTCTGTTTGCGGTGATAAAAAGGTTTGAAAATAAATAGTGATGATGGTTGAAAAAATATCAGTTTCATTTCACAATTTCAGTTGCTTTTCTCTAGGGTGTCACCATTTCTATTAGCACCAATCTTGATAGTGCATTTACCATTTTATGATCAGACATATTTAAGTTAGTGCCACAAAAGGTAGGTGAAAATATTTCATTACTGATCCATCATCTCATACAATCTCTAGCCATGGAGCTTTTATTTTGTTATATGGATTTTCTCACCAAAATTTATTCATTTTTCTGTTTTTTCGTAGAATGTAAGATGCCAATGGGACTAAGCACTGGCATCATATCTGATTCACAAATCAAGGCTTCTGAGTATCTAGGTAAGTACTGGCATCATAGCCCCAGTATACATGGCCACTCTGCCTGTTGCAGCTACAGGTCACTTCTCCTTTCTAGACTTCTCTCCACCACAATGTAGTGAAGCAGCTCAATTTGGGATGCTTACCTTGAGAGGAAACAGCACTGTGGTAGAAGCTGAAAGTCTGTTGGTACCCCTTATCACTGCCACCCCCTCTAGTGTATATTGTTTCCAAAGAGTCTCTTCCAGGGAAGGGGGGTCCTTAGCATCTTTGCATAGGCAGTCAACTTCAGTGCGGGCATTTGGCAAGGAGTAGACAGCTTACTTTCATGACCATGTGCCCATTTCCAAAACTCTCCCCATTCATCTTTTCTCGGTTTGATCACGCATATAATATCCCATCCAAATTCACAGGGTTTTATTCACCAGGTATTATAAGCCTATTTATTAGGGCCCTTTGCCTGTGCCAATTATTCAACTATTAAAGAAACTATGTTGATCACCCACTATGTGTCAGGAACTCCTCCTAAGTCTCTCACTCTGCCTCAAAGCCCTTCCCAAGATAAAGAGGTCAGTTGCAAGGGATCATGGGCTCCCATCACCCCTCCCATGTCTTCCTATTAAGCAGGTTCACTCAGCAGTAGCCACATCAACATGACAGAGAAAAGGCAAACATGACCTGTGTACAGGAAAGGGGATGAGCAGTGGTTGACAGCTGACCAAGCACAGACCTGAAGTCAAGATTTCATCATTAAGGATGGACTTAGTATTAGTAGCCAAGGCCCCAGTCAGCGGCCTGGGCTCCTAACAGCAGCACAAGGTCCTTCAGAGATAAGGTTTTCCACTGGGACTAAATTCATTTGAGAAATTGCTAATTGTCTGTTTTCTAAATAATTCAGAATAAATGTTTTTCTTCCTTTGAATTTAGGTTATTGGGAGCCCAAATTAGCAAGATTAAACAATGATGGATCGTATAATGCTTGGAGCATAGAAAAACTTTCAAGTGAATTTGGCTCTAACTCCTGGATCCAGGTGTGTCTTACTAATCTGATATCTGCTCCTATTATAATAGTAACAATGACAATGATTTTAATAATTTCTTGTTGTTATTTTTGTTGTTGCAGTGTTGTTAAGTGAAATAGCAATTACTAGGTGCTAGTGGTTAAGAGCTATGGCTGCTAACCGAAAGGTCCGCAGTTCGAATTCACCAGCCACTGCTTGGAAACCCTATGGGGTAGTTCTATTCTGTCTTATAGGGTTGCTATGAGTCGGAATCGACTCAATGGCAATGGGTTTAGTTTTGGTTTTAGGCCTTATTCTGGGAGTCCCTGGGTGGTGCAAATGACTAATGCACTTAGTTGTTAACCAAAAAGTTAGAGGTTCAAGTCTACCCAGAAGCATCTCAGAAGAAAGGTCTGGTGATCTACTTCCCAAAAAAATCAGCCATTGAAAGCTCTACAGAGCACAACTCTATTCTGACACACATGGAGTCTCCATGAGTTGAAGTCAACTTTACGGTAAGTGGTAGGCACTATTCTAAATACTTAACTCAAAAGCCTGAAAATCAGCCTTATGAGATTGCTTCTAATAATATCTCACTTTACAGATAAAAAACTGAGGCACAGACAGGTTAACTAATTTCCCACAGTCACACACAGCTAGTTAGTGGTACATCTGGGTACTTTGTGCTCAAATATGCATTGCATCTAACCATTTTCTTTGTCAGCTAAGACCTTAGGTGCTGGTTCTTTAATTCTAAAGAAAACTGAGTATACAATGAATTAAGGCCACGTGTGACTTATTAAAAAGGACAGTTCTGTTTAATAGCTTTGCTGTGTTTCAGGTGGACATGCAAAGGGAAGTCATACTGACAGGGGTCCAGACCCAAGGTGCTAAACACTACCTAAAGTCCTACTATACTACCGAGTTCTATGTGGCTTACAGTTCCGACCATACAAACTGGCAGATCTTCAAAGGGAACAGCACAAGGAACCTGATGGTCTGTTTGATGCTTCTATCTGAATCTCAAAACCAGCCCAGGGTTACTATCCCTATGGTTATGACTGTCTTTTTTTAAAAAGAAAATACATTTCTGGTTCTAGAAATGTGAGTGGCTTTCTGTGCGTCTTACAGAGGAATGTGATGATGTGATGGGACTGTGTGTTACAAATTAAAGGGATAAGCCTAACTTCTGAAACTTCACAGCCCAACAAAACTTGAAAAATCAATTACTATCAAACAAAATACCAACTTCTCAGATTGGCAGGTGGTGTTCAGCAGAGTGAAGTATGTAGTCTTGTACTTCACGCTAAAAATTGGCCACCAAGAGTTTTGATTTTACTAAATTTTATATCTTATTTTGTTCTTTATTTCACTATACCTGAAGGAAATGGCAGTGTTAATGCCAGTGATGCCCTATGGGAGTGTGGTTCTCAGACTTTTTTTTTTTCTATATCATACTAGGTTATTCCTAATGACCCAGTTGTATTTGCCCTCACTCCTCCCATTTCCCCTTAAACCCTCTGCTCAGAGAAAGTTATCTGAATGCAAAGGAATCAGTCTGTCATTATTATACTAGACATCTTGAATCTGTTTCCATTTATTTGTTATGTAAATCATTTACTATTTTCTAGTAAAAAATGACTATTTTCTAGAAAGAAATTACTATTTCTAGCAATGAATTATTTGTAATATACCTTAGAACAGGTCATGAAAATCTTAAGTTATGGTTCTGTCTAATCAGTATTGGAGAGAGAACACAAACTGTAGTTAGAGTCCATAGCTTAAAGAATTTTGCATCTATATTTATGAGGTATATTGGTGTATTTGTTTGTACTGTCTTTGGTTTTGATATCAAGGTGATACTTCATAAAATAAACGGAGAAACATTCTTTCCTATTCTCTTTTCTGCAAGAGATTGTGTAGAATTGGTGTTAAATCGTCTTTAATGTTGGCAGAATTCTCCAGTGAAGCCATCAGGCCTGGAGATGTCTTTTGGGGAGTATTAAAATTAAAATTCAATTTCTTTAATAGATATACAGGGCTAATCAAATTATCTATTTCATATTGGATGAGTTGGGATAACTTGTGTTTTTCAAGAACTTAGTCCATTTCCTCCAAGGTGTTAAGTTTATATGTGTAAAGTTGTTTGTAGTATTCTCTTATTGTTCTTTCGATATCTGCAGGATCTGTAGTGATATTGCCTATTTTGATTCCTGATATTGGTAATTTGCATCTCTTCTCTTTTTTTCTTTGTCAGTCTTGCTCAAGGTTTGTCAATTTTATTGATCTTTTTAGAAAACCAACTTTGTTTTATTGATTTTCTTTATTGTTTTTGTATTTTTAATTTTACTGATTTCTGCTCTTAGCTTTATTATGTCCTTTGTTCTGCTTGTTTTCGGTTTTTATTGCTCTTCTTTTTCTAGGTTCTTAAGGTGGGGACTAAGGTTATTGATTTTAGACTCTTCCTCTTTACTAATATATGCTTATAGTGCTATAAATTTCCCTCTCTACATTGTTCCAGCTGAGTCCCAAAATTCTGACATGTTGTATTTTAATTTTCATTCAATTCAATCTACTTTCCTTGATTTCCCTTGAGTCTTCTTATATTTACTTTATATATAAAGTCTGGGTTCTTATTGTACTTAGCGGGAGGAATAGGATATACCATCGTTTCAGAAATGGAAGTCTCCCCAGTTTTTTTTTAAGACCAAGTTGATTTGGTCAGGTCATATGAGAACTTAATATTACAATATTAAAATTAGATTAAAAATTTTATTATAAAATCACTTGAGAGGATTGTTTCATAACTAAGCTTTCCTATTTTCTTCTAGTATTTTGATGGCAATTCAGATGCCTCTACAATAAAAGACAACCAGTTTGACCCACCTATTGTGGCTAGATACATTAGGATCTCTCCAACCAGATCCTATAACAGACCTACCCTTCGAATGGAGCTCCAAGGTTGTGAGGTTAATGGTAAGGAACAAAGATATGTTGTTTTCTTGCTGTTACTCAGAGAATTAAGATTTGGGAGGTGTGGGAGAATGGGAAGAATGTTTAGTTCTCTTCAATGACCTAGGCTGCTAGAAAAACCTCTGCAAAACAGAGGTTTCACTCAGGTAAACTATCACTGTGATCTCGACCGAGATCACTCAACCAGCCAGAGGGCTGGCACCACCTGTGTGAACAAGGCCAGGATGATATGGACACTAGCTTGCCCTCCAAGGAAGGGCTTCAGCTTGGAATTACCTCTATCAGACCATTTTCAATACAAACTACCTGAGAGTCAAATCAAGCTTGAATCTTCCAAAGTCATCCAGGTCACTCAGACTTTAATGTAATAAAGTAGGTAACAGTATTATTGACGTTTATTAGGTGTTCAAGGAATGTTCTTGAAATCTAAATTTGCTTTCCAACTTCCTGAAACCATGATTGTACTTGACATTTGTCCCCTATGTAGGAACCCAAGTCTTTCCTATATAAGCTGCTATTTTTAAGGGAATGTAACGTGACCTGTGGTATAAATAAATCCAGGTAATCATAAATGGCTATAATAAAATTCTACTACATACATGTGTATAATAAGGATGTTCAAGAGCCTCATCAATTATTCTCCTTCTCTGATTCTTAAAGAAGTGTTTTCCAATAGTTTTCACTTCAAACCACATATAGAAAAGAGTGTCTGTCTAGTGTTCTGCAGTAAAAAGGATGAGCAGTTGACCCAGGGCTTGGCTGGCCCAGGCCCCACCCGTCTGGCCCGGGGCTGGGAAAGGGAGGCACACCCGAAACTGGCTGTGGGACACCTGTTGGAGAGCTACAGCACCTTCTTTCAGGGTGGAGGGCAGAAGCCACAACTCACAGCAGAGAAAGTAGCCGAACCCTGGAATCTGCTTCTTATCAAAGCAGATAATGGCACAGTATATAAGATAATGGCATTCATGAGACATATGGAGATGGGCATTTTGCCAGTGCCTAGACAGCAGGGGTATATAACATTTCCTACATAAAATGCAAATTTTATATAGCACTCCTTGAGGCAGCTTCATAAATCATTAACTGTGTTAATATATTTAAAATATCTATTTTCTGCACGAGAAGCATTACTTTTTTAAAAATCTCTTCCCTTTCTTATTTATATAATTCACATTAGCAGTAGGCTTACTTTTTTATTGTGTTGGTTTTGTTTTCACAGAGAAAATAGTGTTATTACTTCAAGAAAATGTCTGCATGATTTACCAGAGAGAAAAAAGTTTCACAGAGAAGAGGGTGATGGGCAGTCAGCTAGGCTTGCTCACTAGCTATGTTTCTTAAACTCACAGATCACTCTGGCCACCTGTGAAGTTTAAGTTCATGCCTTGGCCAAATTCCAAAGAATGCATAGCATGAATCACTCTCAAAAGGTTGAAAAAGAAAATATTAAATGGTGACCACCAAGGGTCTACCATATCTTTTTCTTTGTAGCTTTCGTTAGAAGAAGAAACAGTGTGTTTTCATATATATTGATAGTTTGAGAGCACTGTCTACCTCAAAGCAAAGACCAAAGGTGTCATGACTCTCTTAAGGAGGGAAGTGAGTTTAGATGTTTAGAACATGCATTTGTTGTCAAACTGCTGGGGCTCAAATTCCAGTTCTGTCTCTAATTCTTCTAGCTGTGTTACTTTAGGCAAATTACTTTTTCTTCCTGCACTTTTGACTTCTCATTTGTAAAGTGGAGATAATTATGAGCATTAACTAATACATGTAAAGCTTGTGAGCAGTTTTTGGCACTTGGATTCAATACATATTCATTGTTGTGATGGTTGTGTTTGTTGTTACTTGGTAGTAATATAGTTTCTTATCTCCTCTGCAGTACAAAAACGCCATTTAGGGAATACAGGTGGTGTATAATCTATCACATTACTTTTCTCTTGACAGGATGCTCCACACCGCTTGGTATGGAAAGTGGAAAGATAGAAAACAAGCAAATCACAGCTTCTTCATTTAAAAAATCTTGGTGGGGTGATTACTGGGAACCCTCCTGTGCCCGGCTCAATGCCCAGGGCCGTGTGAATGCCTGGCAAGCCAAGGTGAAGTATCCCCTGTGAGTGGGGTTCTCCCAGCCCTACAGAAGAAAGCAAAAGCCCTTCCCACAAGGAATGGATTGTCTTCTGTTTCTGCAGATGAAGATTCTAGGTTCCAAAATCTGGGTTGTGCTGACATGATAGCTTTAGCTCTAATCTTTGGCTGAGAGAGAAGACATTTGTCTGTGGTTCTTGGTCCAGCTGTAACTTAGACCAGGGGTTGGCAAGGGCTAGATAGTAAATATTTTTGGTTTTGTGGGCCATACGTTGAGTCATAACTACTCAATTCTGCCATTATAGCAGGAAAGCAGTCATAAACAATATGTAAATGAATGAGCATGGCTGTGTTCCAATAAAACTTTATTTAAAAAAATATATAGCTGACTAGATTTGGCCTGTGGGTGGTAGTTTGCCTACTTCTGATTTAGACAATTTACATTAGTGATAAACAAATGATTTAGAATTGTAACATCTTCTTTTCCACACTCCTCAATTTAGCAGTATTTTTTGTTTTCTTAAGAGGGCCATTTAAATTCTTTTGTTCCCTTTTTTTTTAGAGATTTGTGACATCCCATGGGACAATTTGAGACATGGTAAAATGCTGTAAAACCAGGGTTATAAATCAGCAGTCTTAGTTTAATAAACACCTTCCAAATAGTTACATTGTCCCTAATATTTGCCCATCAAGTAATTCAGGTGACTTAATTTTAGGGTAATTGTTAATGTTGTTGTTAGGTGGCATCGAGTCAGTTCCAACTCACAGTAGCCCTATGTGCAACAGAACAAAACACTGCCCAGTCCTGTGCCATCCTCATAATCGTTGCTCTGTTTGAGCCCATGGTTGCAGCCACTGTGTCAATCCATCTCATTGAGGGTCTTCCTCTTTTTCACTGACCCTCTACTCTACCAAGCATGATGTCCTTCTCCAGGGACTGGTCCCTCCTGATAATGTATACAAATTACGTGAGACAATGTCTCACCATCCTCACTTCTAAGGAGCATTCTGGCTGTACTTGTTCCAAGACAGATATATTCGTTCTTCTGGCAGTCCATGGTATATTCAATATTCTTTGCCAACACCATAATTCAAATTATCAATTCTTCTTCAGTCTTCCTTATTCATTGTCCAGCTTTCACATGCATATGAGGCAATTGAAAGCACCATGGCTTGGGTCAGGCACACCTTAGTCCTCAAAGTGACATCTTTGTTATTGAACACTTTAAAGAGGTCTTTTGCAGTGGATTTGCTTAATGCAATATGTCGTTTGATTTCTTGATTGCTGCTTCCATGGGTGTTGATTGTGGATCAAAGTAAAATTATTAATAGTTGACTCATTTTTGTTTCACTCTTCAACTGACCTGAGAAATCAGAATGGCAGATGAAGATACCTACACTCCAATTCTCTGGACTCTGTAGAATCCGAGGTCCTATCCTTAAATTAGGCCACTGAAAGAAAAAGAGAATCATGGTGCTAGTGGAGTAAATGGAAAAGCTTGGACCTCACTCCCTGACAGTCTTGGGAACTGATGTCTGTGCTCTAAAACTCATTTCTGACCCATCATAGAATCACAGAATATTAGAGTGGCAAGAGGTTTTGCAAAACAGCTAGTCTAGACTTTCACTTTCATGTCTAAACACACGGGAGATTCAGTAATTTTAGTGTAAAATGGTGGCAGAATCAGGGCTGGAACCCAGTTCTTCTGCTAAACAGGCCAGTACTCCTTCCACCATTTCAGGTAGCCCAAACACCTCATTTTGCAATTTTGCAGAGGGGGAAACTGAGACCCAGAGAAGTTAAAATAATAAAATAATATATTATATGATATTTTATAATTTTTATAATAATATAAACAAAATAATAAAAAGCTAAAGAGAGAAGATGCCATCCAATTCTTTCCCAAATGACCCTTTAGTCCTGCTCATGATGTACCTTGTCACCCCATCGTTCATTTTATGCCATGTTATGTTTCTTGCTGTATACATAGTTTACTTTTTGTCTTTGTGAAAAACACCCCAAAGATGAAGTGCTAATTTTAATTTTTAACACTGTTATTTTAAAATATGGAACTCTAGGTTGGAAATATTTCAGTTAACCTTCCATTGGCATGAAATGTCCTTAATCAGTTCTTCCTGGAGAGGATGAAAGTCTAAGTCAGACATGTGCAGGCACACAGGCAGATAACCATCTCTCCATGACTAACGTGTCTCGACCTCTGCTATCCTGAAAAAATCTTCTAGGTACCTTCATTTTGTACCACTGGTCTGACCCTGATTTTAAGAGACTCTAAGACACCATCCAGACGTCGTTAGAGGGTATTACAAAATTAACAAAAAGTCTCAAATACAATTATTTAAATTAATTTGTTTTTAAAATACATATAGCATGTGAATATATACATATACATACACACATACGTATATATGTGCATACATGTTGTTGTTATTATTAGGTGCCGTCGAGTCAGTTTCAACTCATAGTGACCCTATGTACAACAGAATGAAACACTGCCCAGTCCCGTGCCATCCTCACAATCATTGTTATGCTTGAGCTCATTGTTGTAGCCACTGTGTCAATCCATCTCATTGAGGATCTTCCTCTTCTTGGCTGACCCTACACTTTACCAAGCATGATGTCCTTCTCCAGGGACTGATCCTTCCTGATAACATGTCCAAAGTATGTGAGGCGTAGTCTCGCCCTCCTTGCTTCCAAGGAGCATTCTGGTTGTACTTCTTCCAAGACAGATTTGTTCATTCTTTTGGCAGTCCATGGTATATTCAATATTCT